GCAAAAATACAGATGGCAGTGGTGAAGTGTGGCCCTGCTGAATGAGTGGACACTTGGCCACACATCCCAAGAGGGATAATGGCCAAAAGTGGATTTGTTTATGACTATGTATTTGTATCTATCCACCCATCCCAATGTTGTATGTGTGTGTGTCTTTGCATAGCATCTGTAATATGAAATACACTTGTCTCTAAAGTATATGACCATGATCATGATGATTCCAGGCATCTGTAACTTTTGAATCCTCCACCTGCAGTCAAAATTGTAGATTATTTTACAGACCTTTTTAGACTATAAGGGAGTTTAAAGTATTTGACATTAATTGTTTCTTTGATATTAGTATATATAACTATAACGTGTGTAACAAGCCTTAAATTCAACACAAAGATCCACTTGCACATAATGAAGATGTGAATAATTGAACTTTCATGTATTGAACACATATTTTTATTATGAAGAATAACCTAGAAATTATTACCATGGCCTTAATTATACAAAGATCATTTTAAACATTTATCATGCTCAAATTGTAACTTAGGGTGACGAAAGTAAATTAAACACATTTTATGCCTTAGATTTTCTCAACTTTTTCCTTAAGGCCCAGGATATGCAATACTTCAATCAACCAGATAGATTTTAAAATTGTCGAAAGGTCTTCATTTACTTCTCAGGACTTCATAAAATTGAAATAAAAATTGCATAGAAGTCATTGAAGGGTCATAGTTTTTCAAATTATGTTCTAAATTTTTAAGTTTCCCGTTCACTATCTTTTTTCCTACCTGTTTCTTATTTTTGTCTAATTCTAATTGATTACTTCCTAAGATAGTATCAGCATTAGTAATAGATTTTCAGAAATTTAAATAATTTTCTGCATCAATTTTAGACTTTAGCAATTGTTTTGAATTTGAAAATGATTTCATGCATGTTGCTCTAGACCATGTCTTCTTTAAATGAATTTCCAAGGCCTTGGGAGAAGTACCTCTCTCTCTCTCTTGCCCTCACATGCACTTGTGCTCTCATTACAAAACAGAATAAAACCAGAGTAATACGTATGTACTTCAGGTAGTTACCCTACTCTTTAAAGGACTACATCATCATCCACATATGAGCACTGTGCACATCTGATGTATTTTCTCCCAGTATATTTTCTATACATATACATTCATTTTATTTGTGGTTTTATTTTATTTTATTTTTTAAAGTTTGCCAGTGGACATGTGTGCTTGCCAGATAGAGACAGAGAGAGAAGGAGAGAGAGAAAGCACCCTCCAATGGGATGTGGTCTGGTGCATAGACCATATCTATTTACACATTTTTATCTAGGTAATAATTATGGTTCTGTGTTCCCTTTGAAATTGGAAGATAATGGGACCACCACCACACTACTGTATTAATGAAAGGTTTCTTGGTTTCTTTTTACAGTTTCAAAAATGACATAATGAATGAAAATTAAGTTCATTTCTGTCTCTAAATATTCTGTCTATTTTTAAATATTTCTGGGTGAGGTGTGGTCATTGACAGTTAAATAACACAATATTAAACAGATGGTATATTGGTGCTACTGAGTAAATACATACTCAAGTTACAGATCACCACTGAATTTTATAATGGCACATATAGAACTCCTTTTTTTCCTTCTCTATCTTTTTCTTTCATATATATACATATATATATATATATATTACAATTCTTGGAACAAAAGTTCCCTCTCTCCACTTACTCAATTTGAGAGAGTTAAAACTAACATAGGCTTTTTTTGTTTTTTTTCAGCAAGTCTCTGGATTTACACCAAAATTAGGACAGCCTAGATTAGAAGTATTTAGAAGCCTAGAGTAGAATGTGTGTGCTTCTGGAAATGTATTTGGTAAGCATGTGTAGGTTTCCAGAACATCAGAAATTTTGGCTGAGCCCTGTTAAGGTAACTTGGCTCTCGTCAGGAGCTCAGACCTACAACGATACAATACCCAGAGCAGCTACCATATTAATATCACTCCCTTCAGATTTGACCGAGCCTTCTATTTTATGTCAAAGACTAATAGGTTTCCTCGTTTATTAGAGACTCAGAAAGGCAAAGAAAAACCAGGTGAGCATATTGATAATTGACATTGTTGATGGCCTAACATAAAGGAAGAAAATCTGGACAATAAAATTGTGGATATGTGTAATGTCATAGTAATTTAAAGAAAGGTTAAATTATATAGCATTTATTGGAAACTATTTTCAATGCATATGTAGAAAGTTTTGCTTAACTGAAAATATGTAAGCATGGAAAGCATCTTTCACAGGATGCGATTTTAATACTTCTCCTGTAGTGTCACATAAAAGGAAGGTCTGGATAAGTTATAAAGCATGGGGAACCAGCAGTTAGCGTAATGGCTATGTCACTGGACTCCCACGTAGTCGACCGTGGTTCACGTCCTGGACCCGGTGGCTTAAAACTCACGCCAGGCGCGTGTGCGTGCGTGCCCAAGATCCCGAGAGGAGAATGGAGGAGAAGGGATTGTGGCGTGACCATCCCCCCTGGGGGGTGATTTCTCGCTTTCTGTCTCTATGTCTCTCTCTGTCTGGCGAGCGCACGCGCCCTATAGCGAAAATCTCTCAAAAAAACATGTTATAAAGCACGGGGTGGGGATGTACAGGTATAATGTTGAATATAGAACAAACATTTATAATCAGAAGGTCTATTGAATCTGAATAGAACAGATCCATATATTTGTAAGTATAAATTTTCTGTATCTGAATAAGCTACATTGCTGAAAATAAAATATTTCTTATTTCAGGTTGGCATTCTCTTGATAGTCTGCCTGTTTCTAGGCCACTTCTTTTCATGGGTTGTTGAAAGATTAGGGGATATAAAACTTAATAGCTTACTCTAAAGCTTTTGAGAATGAGACACAGGTATAAGTAACAATTCTGTAAAAGAGGAAGGTGGATTTCAGCAATGGTGTATCTATAAAATAATAAAAAGACTATATGTTCTTTAGGGAAATTATTTTTAAATAAATTAGAATTTAGTTTTTAAAAATTATTGTTAACCTTGCCACATAGTGCAGGAAAAGTAGAGCTTAGAACAGTCAGAAAAGGAAGCCAAATTCTGGTCATTAATTATAAAACTAGAATACCACCTTGTGTTTATATAGCACCTGTTTCTTAGTACCTAAGAGAACAATGACAGAGTTTTGTTTTTATTTTTGTTTTGTGTTTGGCTTTTATTTCCTATGGTTTATATCTGTTACACAACCATGTAGTGGAAGATGTTAGTCTCATCCATGTTTTAATCATTTGTGAATAGGTTTAAAAATATGGGTGGCTTGATAAAGCTCCAATGAGTTTTTAAATTCTGGCTTGGAAATACCTACTTTTCTCCACTGTTAGTTGCTCGAGCTGCTATTTTTATTTTGCATCATCACTTTTTTCATGGGTCTTTCTTTTTCATGAGTAGTCATTTTCCTTTTCTTCTTTTTTTATTCAACTACCACATAAGATATAGAAGAAAAAGAGCATTAATGTTTTTATTGGATATTTTTTTCTACACAGATAACATTCCTGAATATCCTACAAAGCAGCTTCTCTGTTTAATTCAGCCGTTAAGACTCAATGGCAGTTGCTGCCATAATAAACCATCAACAATTTGAAACCCTTCATTCTCTATTGCCATGAAGGCCATGATATTAAATCACATTTCTCAGTATTTTCACATTCATTCCAAAAAGCCAATGCATTTTTTAGAGCCCTTAAGAGTGAGAATTTGGTATTCAAATTTCCATTTCATTAGACAGACTATTATTACAGATTTTTGTTTTATATATTAAATTAGGTTTGCAAAGAGTCTGTTAAAATATATTGAATATTTCAAAGCCCCATTTTTATTTATTTATTTTATTTTATTTTATTTTTTTGTATATACTTTCAATCATATTGTTTGGCTTGACCAGCAACATGGCACCCCTCCCTAAATTTTCCTATATTCACCTCCTAACTATCCACCCCTTATCACCATGATTATGTAAATTAAACATAAATATTGGTTTATGATTATTGTATGTAAAAGATGTTAAAAACTAAATGAAAATGAATAGATAAGAAAGATGACCAAGTTTATTGTCATAGTTTGCTGATTTTTAATTGTCAAATTTAATTTTCTTTTAGGACCTTAGTATACAAGCATTTTATTGAATTAAACTTTAGAGTGATAAATACCAGAACTGAATGCCACTATTTTATAACAGCTTTTACTAGACTATGTTTTACCAAATGTAGATTTTAAAAATTATATTTTCATTAAGGAACGTTCAACTTGACATACTTTTTTACTGTTTAAAATTCATGAAACAAATAGAGAAGTAAACAATTAAAATGCATTTTATTGTTAAGAGTTTGAAAGCTATTAGCTAACAACATCTGTCTTTCATTTTTATTATGTGAGCTCTGTGTATATGACATAATTTAATGTGATAACATCTTTACCCTTTTATTCCAGTTTAATATCTATTTCTCACTTTTCAAAAGTACTACAAATTCTACAAATTATTGTATTTTCTTTTTAGTAACTCAATAAATCTCTTCTTTAATGATGCTCAACCTTTTTCAACTTTAACAAACTTGATAAGAATGGCCTACTAATTCACTTTGTGAGGAAAAGAGTCTGGCACTCAATGAGTTATCATGCCGTGATTTATGTCAAGCAGTCGCACATGTACACTTAATTCCACAGTTTGTGCTAACAGCCATTGTTGGGCCAGGCATTTTTCCAAAGCTCACGAGTTAGGGAATGGTAATTATAGCAAGTTGTATATTATAAATAATGCATGTATGTTCCACATGAGCTGTGTGGGATTTCGGCCCATTTGCTAGAACATAGCTGCATAATGATTTGTTTGGATTTTGTTGCAGATGATTGATAGCACAGAATGTTGGCAATGATGTAAATTACTGTTGGGCTGCCTTGAAAATTTCAGTGCAAGTGGTGATTTCTTCTCTTTTTCTGTGTGCTTGTCTAGTCTCGGCAGACACCTGAGGGTGAGTTCCTTCCCCTTGACCAACTTGAACTGGATGTAGGTTTTAGTACAGGGGCAGATCAACTTTTTCTTGTGTCCCCCCTCACAATTTGCCACGTGATTGATGCCAAAAGCCCCTTTTATGACCTATCCCAGCGAAGCATGCAAACTGAACAGTTCGAGATTGTCGTCATCCTAGAAGGCATTGTGGAAACAACCGGTGAGTAGAAACATAGATATGCCATCAAGTTTTTTAATTCTGTGACATTATGTTATGTGCACAATACCTGTTTCAAATTGGGCTGAGTGGCTCAGTGTTCACAAGAATGACATTAATGACTTGCCTCTTCTTTCTTTATAACATTTCATTTGTACTACTTTGAAAATTAAGAGTTAGTGTTTTGATGATTAACACAGACATACTCACTGTAAAAAAAAAAAGAAATTCAGATGACTCTTTTGAAATGATTATGATGTTCTATTTTAATTACAAAATTAGATGTCCTATAATCCGGACTTTTCTTTAAGGATTTAAGATTAAAAAATTCAGGGTAATTAGTGAGCAGCATGAACTCAGCATGCATATTTTACCTTGGGGATGGTGATGTGAGGTGTCATTTACAGAGCTTTGATATGTTGCTATGTGCAACTTCAGTGGAAAATTCCCTGTGTGTGCGTGTGCATGTGTGCTAAAGCAGCATTTTCATTCCAAAGTGGGTCAGTAGATTTCCCCAGCTGAACCTTGACCAAATTTTATTTTAAAGAGATAGTTTTTTTCTTTCTTTTTGCTTCAGTATAGCTATGAAGTGTGTGTTTATCCTTGAGATGAAATGTAACATTGGTTATATACTCAGAAATAATCAGAATTTGGCATTCTCTGAGGAGGGTTAGATTGGAAAAGGAAGAAAAAATAAATATAACATTTGGGGCCTAATCATTGTGAAGGTATTATGAAATTTGATGCTTGAGACTAATAAGGTAAAATCTACATAAGCATTCATATATATATACACACACGTATATATACACATATATGTATATGTGTGTATATATATATATATATAGTGCTTTATACTTTAAACAATTATAGAA